CAAGTAAGAAGTCTGTGGCAGATTTTCAATTTTTTGTAAATTTCATTAATGTCTATATCAACAATGTGTTGATAAACAATGCAGTTGATAAACAACTGTTTATAAACACATTGTTTATTAACGCATTGTTTATTAACACACTGTTTATTAACACATTCTTATTAACACATTGTTTATCAACACGTTGTTTATCAACACGTTCCTTATTAACACACTGTTTATCAACACATTGTTTATTAACACACTGTATATTAACGCATTGTTTATTAAAACATTGTGTATCAACAAATTGTTTATTAACACATTGTTTATCAACATACATTTATTTTTCATCAACACATTGTTTATCAACACATTGTTTATTAACGCATTGTTTATAAACACATTCTTATTAACACATTGTTTATTAACACATTGTTTATCAACATACATTTATTTTTTTATCAACACACTGTTTATCAACACATTGTTTATTAACGCATTGTTTATAAAAACATTCTTATTAACACATTGTTTATAAACACATTCTTATTAACACATTGTTTATTAACAATAAACTCGTTACGCGCTCGTTAATAAACAATGTGTTGATAAACAGTGTGTTGATAAACATCGTGTTGATAAACAATGTGTTAATAAGAATGTGTTAATAAACATTGTTTTAATAAGAATGTGATGATAAACAATGTGTTGATAAACAACGTGTTGATAAACAATGTGTTAACAAACAGTGTGTTAATAAACAATGCCTTAATATACAGTGTGTTAATAAACAATGTGCATTATAGCAAACTTTAATTGCGGTGACAATATTCGTCCACGTTACATTGTGGGCGTATGTAAAGTAGATCTCAGTATCGAATGGCATTCGTTTTGTTACACTTATATTTGAATTATTTTTGTAGATAAAAATGAGAGGGACAAACAAGGTTGTTTTTCTTTTGGAATTTAATATTTATTTTAATTTCTTTTTTAAGCTATACAAATTATTATTCAGCGCTCGTTTAGTATAAATTAGAAAATTTAGGGGAGAAATAAGGGTCTTTCCCTTGTAATTTTAGATTTCAATTTCATAGAATTAAAAATTGTTATTCAAGTTGCGTTCCAGTGGACAAATGAAAAATGCGAAAATAAATATCGTTCAATGTCAAGGATAGGCAATAAGGACAATAAACAAAAAACAATTTATGACCAAATCGAACAAGACACACTAAAAGCCGGTGGTTGTGCAAGCTTCCTGAAACTGGGCAATACTTTTCCAATTCCCTCGGTGCAAAATTCCTCTTATTGTTGGTCTGAAAAGGTTCGCTCACAGAATTTGTTTTTAAATTGAATTGAAATTTACAGTGAAAAAGTATGAAAATGATATTTTGAAATTTCCGAGGTATAAGTTGGGGGTACAAATTAAATTTTTGGAAGAAAAATGACCCCCTCACATACACTCACTAGCACTGCCACTGATCTAGAAGCGTATTTAACTTGTAAAATACATTAGAAATATGTGTATAAAATACTTTTTATTTTGTTTTTCACTGCAAGTCGAACTGACTGCTATCTCAAAGAATTTCCGTCATGATAAATTGCTTGACTCAATGTTTACAATGTCCTTAATTCAAAACATTAACTGTCTTTTTGAGAAAAGCATCGAATTTGTTACATCTTGTTCATAACGTATTTATTCAAATATTCTAATTGATTTTTCTTGTTATATTTTTGATGGAAAACATTGCAAAATTTTATTATGTTGAAATATCTTGGTTACGTTTCTTTAAGGTAAAATATTTCCTTTGTACTCAAATCTACCCGGATCTCCCATGTTTAAATTTCCATTTAGGGCGTATAACAGCGCTATTATTAAATTAACGATGCTTGATGAAATGTTGCATACTTTTTCAAGCGTATCAGAGTTTAAGGGACATTCTGCTTTTTTGTAGGTCATTTTTTTGCTTTTTGCTCAAATTTGTGAAAACTATACACCAACATCTAGAGAAATGTGCCCTTTAGCGTATCTGAAAGTTTCAACTAAAACAAATCCAGCCATTAGTTTTTTAACGCCAGAAATATCTAAAAACATTATGTAAGGTTTTCAATTTCGTTATAGTTTTTGGAAGCTGTTAGAAAATTACTGTACGGATTTGAGTAAATTAACGTCTAATTGTAGATAAATATATCTCCTACATATTCTAAAGATTTTATCTAATAATATCGTGCCATTATAAAGCCACATACCAAAAACTACTGCTTAATTAACAATTAGTACTCTCCCATGTTAATTAACCCTTTTAAAACAAAACTAGTTTGATCAAGATGATACATAGGTATATATATCATATTTTAGAAATATTTTTAGGTATAATGTACGATGTTTTTTTACAAAAAAGCGGAATACCCCTTTAACCTACTTATACCGGATTTAAATTTCTCCGAAAATGTATTTTAATGCACAGTTTGTATATTTCGAAAGTTTTATTTAGTTGTCAATTTTCTTTTCATGGTTTATTTGTTATTGAGTCTTCTTTCGTGCAAAATACACTTGCAATTTGCAATTGAATGGGTATGTCACGTTGTCAAATTATCTCTTATTTTGAATGCTATAAAAATGTAGAATGAGGTCTAGATGTGAATAAAAGCACATGAAACGTAACATTATGAATTTTTTTCGAGCATGTACCCGATTCTGCTAAGCTTCAAACGAGCTTGTACGTTTATAATTTCTTGGGTCAAAAGTGATACATGTATATCTTTTTTAATATATTATGAAAAACAAATTTCGCAATAAAATAATCATATGCCAAATGACTTGTGTAGTACAAGGTTTGAACCGAACACTGGATTAGTCATACTGAAAGAGGCATCTCAACTTGTTACCACCTTCTTCAACAAGATGTTGAACCTGGTTCAACCTGTCCCGTATAGCTACAGTGTGGAGTGCCCCAATAAATTTACAAAATTAAGAAAAACCTTTTTATGACTTATTCACTATTTTCTTTTATAATAAAGCACATTGTTTCGTGTTTGTTTTTTGATGCCTTGGATGCACTGAGAAAGATTAGATCGAGTCACTTGAATCAAAGTCATACTAGATGCAGATAATTCTACTTGAA